GTTTTCTTTCGAATTAATCTCGGACTCTCACGATTGACTTTTTGCTGCGCCTTATCTCTGGTTTATGCGCCCAATAAGGACACAAATACCACCGTTCGATTCAGCGTAAGAAATTATACTGACAGATGTCAAATGTATTACTAAACAACAGTATTGTAGCGATTTATGGCCTTTGAAAGACAAGCGAAATTGTATTGTTCACAAATCGCTCAAAATTAGTAAACTGATTAAAAATGCAATACATTTGACCTTGATAACTTTCGTATTGTTGGTTTTCTCTTTTTCGACCGTATACCAGTGGATTCGTCTCACTTTTCTCTTTATTTTGTTAGTAGTGTGAGCCCAAAGTATTCGCTCCATGTGAGGTAATCCAGGAGGTATTTGGATTCCGGATCCCACTGCTTGGATTCCGGATCCTACTCCTTGGATTCCGGATTCCACATCTTGGATTCCGGATTCCGGAACTGTAGTGGATTCCGGATTCCAATTTATTATTTTGTGTATTCCAAAGCCAATAAATACACTTTCAGTTCCCAGTGTGCCTAACTGTATATATTATCAAAGACGTTTTGATAATAAAAGATATAGCTTCAAATAAGTACATCAAAATTATATATCGACACTCTGTAGTGCAACTAACATTGTTTTTGTTTCGCGGCAAGGCCCTCTTCAGAAACCTTTCTAAAAAGTTAATTGCGGTGTCAACGGTGCGAAAGAACAACGATTTTTAACTTCTGCGAAATTATTTTTGATTACCCCAAAATTCCACGCGTGTCTTGGTTTACTTGCTCTTGACACTTATTGTCCTGGTAAAATCAGTACATAACAAAATTACAATTAATACATTTTTTCTGCAAGAAAATTACGAAAAATCGCACCGAGTAGATGGTTGTTTCACTATCTATCAACGAAGAGACATATGGCGAGTAGCTTAGCCTAGTAACAATAAATATGAGATAAATATACTATTTAATCTATATGTAGACTTCCAAACTTTCATGATCCAGAAAATGTGTCACAGCTTTGCTACTCAGTTATTATTCTTGGCCACTGATACTGCATTTGTAACAGAAATCTACTCAAAACTGTGTAACGGAACATCCTCTAAGTGGTGTTGTAACAATCCAGTGTTTGTATTAATCAGACATAGGATAAGTAACAATTACTTTAATTACAATATTTCGAAGTATAGCCTTCTTTTTAGGTAAGCAACGCAACTGCATGTAAAAGTATGAAAACTTTAACTTTAAACACTTTAAACTTTAATGCATGTCAAACAACTACATATCTTAAAAACATGGAGCTATACTTCGAATTACTAACTAATCCCTGTGGCTTATTATGACTAAACCTGTGGTTTAAAGCACGATCATGGGTTTTACGTTGGTGGAGTAACTTCCGCGTACATCAAATAACTTATCTTACAGAGCCTGGTCAGTCCTCTCCTGTGCTTCGACACTCATTCAGATATTCTGGCCTTATACGCTTTCCTCAGTAAAAACTAACAGTTAGGCATTAAATTCGCTAACATGGGCGTACCGGGCGGGGGGGGGGGGG